CCAGCTCCAGGTTGAGCTGTTGTTCAGCATCTTAGCTGTAGAGGGCAGTGTCACTGGCCCTCATATGTGGGATCCGAACCGGGGTCCTCTGGTGTCCCAAGCAAGCTCTTAACCAACGCGCCACTTGGCCGGCCTGTCTTTATCTTATTCTTAACCCTCTTATCTATCTTGATGCACTTGTTCAATTGTATCCTTAAAGATAAATTTCTAGTAGTGGAATTGCTGTGTCAAAATCATGCACTTGTTTTAGAACTTTTAATATGGAGGCAAATGTTATATTCTTTTTGGCCTAGATCCCTCAAGTTTTGTCTTATGATTGTCCCTTTAAATGATATATCCACCTCCTTACCCCATGCACATGCATATTTAGCATGTGTGCCTCATTCTCCTCTGTGTCTCATTCTCCTCTCTTTTCTTGATTATCTAGAAACCAATCCTCTCTCTTTTACCCTGTTTGGTTTTGCATCTCAGATCCTGATACATTTCAGTTGCCTCTGGCATTTGTGATTCACTTTCACTTTTTATTCTGGATATCAAAATACCTTCCTTTGGTCAGGCTATGGGAAATACGCCTTCTCATATATTCATGCTTTTGATGAGCTATTCCGTCTGCCTGGAATGTCCTTCTCTTGTCTGCAGGTGAATTCCTAGTCTACCTTTTGAAATCACTTCAAACATTACCTCCTCCTGGAAGCTGGTCTTTATAAGCCCCACCCCACCTCCAAGCTGTACTAACATATCTCTTCCTCGATGCTCCTCAGCATCATGATCTTCTCTCTATGATGGCACTCATTATATTGTAGGTATTAATATAATACAACAATTAACAGGCATGGCCCAGTGAAATATTGGATTGCACTTAACAGAGGTGGTGCTAGTGATAGATAACTTGGTGCAAAAGTGAAGGGCTCTAAAGGAGGCCTAGAAAAAATAAAAGCTACAGGGGAAGATGTTTTTGCTCAATATGACTCACCCTACACATGATTGATTCCACGTGACCTTTGCATTTCCCCCTTAGCCATGATCCTGATATTTGTCCTGTGACTACATCCTCTGGTAGCAGATGCTCCCTACATTGTCCTGTGGGACCATATGCCATGCACTGTTGCCTATTCAAAGGAGAGTTTCTCATTTTAGAGTATAAATCTCATGAGATCAGAGATCACATATGATTCAGGTGTGTATTCCCAACACTGGAACACAGTGCCTGGCAAAGGACATATGCTCAGTGAATGCATTTTAAATAAATAAGTAGATGCTCTCCCAGAGGCTGCCCCATATCTTCTCAAGTGGTATCTTACAGCCCATGGACAAACCTCCCAGATGACAAGCACAAGCTGAAATCACCTTCAATTATTGAACATCACCTGGATTCCCCTGACTAGATCCTTTTTACCCAGTTGACTGGACTTTGCCTAAGTTTTGTTATGTCTTTTGGAAACAGGGTTTCAATTGCCTGGCTATGCCTCTGGAATCCATTTCTATAGCCCGGTCAGTTCTTCTAGCTCATGAAATAAAGTCGTAGCATAGGGTGCGAGTCTGACAATGCAAAGAGCAGCATCTTTCTTTGGATAAGCTCTGCAAGACCTCACTGTGAATGTTCTATGTAAAAACTAAAAGGTAGACATAACTGAGCTTTATCCCATAACAAATGTACCAGGGGTAAATATTAGAATTCACAGCTACATAACAAACGGCAGCCTGGTATAGCCTAGGCGTGTGGAGTATCACTGAAATCTAGATTGTATGGCTTTGAGTTCTAGAGATTTCTCTAGAGATTTCAGGCTGGCACTATGTGAACACCACAGATCATACCTGACTCTGGCATCCTTTATCCTTGGTTTGGTTCAGAGTACCTGCTAAAACTGGGAACACAGAAGTCCTTCTGGTCTGCTCATCCTGCCTTATTCGTAAATGCTGGCAGTGTTATTTTTATGTACTGTAAGTAATTATGCCACAGAGAGAGAGAAGTTTATGCTATTCTAGGGACATGCTATTCATGTTTTACAGGGGATAAAATAGTGTTTATGCACTCAACAACTATTTACCACAGGTCTATTTTGTGGTAGGATGGTCAGTTGTTTCTCTCCATATTGACAAGTTTAAAGTGTGGCAACGTCCTCTATTGAATCCCAACCTAATACACTCAGTAGACCATGCTTACCTTCCTGCAATTCTGCAACACTTTTACAAACAGAAGCCCCTTCAGTTACCTAATTGTACTCATCTTCAGGACCAGCCAAGGAAGCCCGAGCTGAAGCAAGCATTATTTCAACACTAGTTAATTGACTGTTTTCTATATCTGATTGACTGTCAAATTAAGGTTGAGGGAACTACTCAAAAAACTAATGCTGTGAATTCCATATACGAGAATATTGATCTATACCTTGTTTGTGTGTTTAAGGCTGAATTGATGTCATATTGTCAGGTTGTCTTCCAAAAGGAACAGTGGCTTCAGCCCTAACTCTCACCGTTTTCCTCTACAAACTTATCTTCTCTTAAGCTGCTTGGGTTTTTACAGTCTAAAATGGTTTGTGCTCATTATGTTGAGAACACACTTTTCCTTTTCAACAATAAAAAATAAAAATTAAAAGAATAGGCAAGTTCATATAATGGCATTCAATATTAATTCAATAGTCTAGAAAGAATTAAATAATTTTCCACATTCTTCCTGGCAACATTTTTAGAAGGCATTCTAAGAAAAAAAGATATCTACTTCTTTTTCTAAGTTAAAAAAATAAAAATTCAATTATGAGAAAAAATATAAACAGTTTAAATCAATAGTCCCTTTAGTAAATAAATTGTAGAATTGTATAAAGAAAAACTTACCTGATAAATTTATCCGTGTCTTCAGATGACTTAAAGGTGTCATCTTTCACTGTTAAAAAAAAAAAGGATTCTGGTTTACTTGGAAGATTGAATACATGGATTCATGTACACTCTTTCCAAAGCCTCAATAAAATAGTAATAAAGGAATAGAAGTAAGGTATAAAACCCCGAGGAGAGCAAAAGAAAGATGACAAGAAAAATTTTAAAGATGGAAAGCAGATGTCAAGTGGTAACTGTCTTAGCAGGCCATGGACATTTGAAACCTAACTACATGATGAGGGTAGGCAAATAAAAAAGCAAGCAGATTTATACTTCAGAACTTGAGAAACAATTTAGGAAGTGGAGGTACCGGATTCCTCTGAAAGGTGAGAGATATAGCACAGTCACCCAAGACTTTTACCCTCATCCTGTGCAAGCAGGTGATCACCACTGCCCAGGCAGAAGGAAGAATGTTTCATCTCTGGAGAAACTGAGTCAGAGGGACTCAAGACCTGTGGAGACTAGACAGAAAGCCACACAAGAGTATGGTAAGGGACTGAAAGCAGGGAATAAGTCAAATAAATCATATTGCACAGATAAGATTCCTCCTCTCTCCCTTTGTCCAGCTCCCAGAGTGTAAGCAGCTAGCATCTCTCTCCAGGCACAAAACTGGAGAATTAATCTCAGGGGAAGTAGGCAAGCCTAACTAACGGTGGGCCCAGGCCTTCACGAAATACACTAATGAAACAAAACCATCAACAACTCCAGTCTGCTTTCAAATATTTCCAATCGTTCTAATGATTGATTTCTCTTCATCATATATCCATCATATGAATAGTCAATGATCACTAGACAATTGAATAAAGTCAACATCATGAAAGTTAACCACCAGAACAAATAGGGAGAGAAAAGGAAATACTATTTGAAACATACATTTCTGGAAATCTTCCAGAATATAGAAAAAAAAAGAGGTGGATAATAGGACAAAATAGGTTTTTAAAAATTAGAGGATCATATTACTAGATCCCACATCCAAATATTTAAATATTTAAAAGAGAGAGCAGATAAAATGAAGGGGAGAAATAAGAAAGAAATCGCAAAAGAAAAATTTCCAGAACTAAAGGATTAGTTTTTTTAAATGATATTTAAACAGTCTATCAAATGTCCTACATGATGAATGAGGGGGAAAAACAAGAAATTTTAATCAAGAAATTTCAAATCAGGGGCAGCCAGGTGGCTCAGTTGGTTGGAGTGTGTGCTCTAGGCAACAGGGTTGCTGGTTCGATTCCCACATGGGCCTGTAAGCTATGCCCTTCACCGCTGGATTGGGGATGGTGACTTGAGCTGAGCTGCCGGTGGGCGCGGCTGGATGGCTCAGTTGGTTGTGGAGTGCATGCTTTTGACAACAGAGTTGCCGGTTTTGTTCCTGCATGGGATGGTGGGCTGTGCTCCCTGCAACTAGACTGGGGATGGCAATTGGACTTGGAGCTGAGCTGCACCCTACACAGCTGGATTGAGGGACAATGACTTGACTTGGAGCTGATGGGTCCTGGAAAAACACACTGTTACCCAATAAAAATTTAAAAAGAAAAGAAATTTCAAATCACTGGGAATAAAGAGAAAATTTTCTGCTTCCAGAAATAAAATATATCACATGTAAAGAACTTGACATCTGAATGAAATCTAGCCTCTCAAGAGCAACACTAGAAGGCAACAGGGGTCTTCACAACTCTGAAAGAAAATTATTTCCAAACTAAAATTTAACCAAATTGTGATCCTAGGAGAGGGGAATAAATACATTTGTTGGCATGCCAAGTCAGGAAAGATTGAGTGCCAATGGTCTAGAAAGCTCCTAGAAGATGGGCTCCAACAAAATGAAGGAGCAAACCCACTAAGAGGAAAATAAGGGATCAAGCCAGAGCTCCAATCTGAGAGGCAGGCAAAAGGGTGATCCCAGGATGCCAGTGAGAGAACTGCCAGTTCAGAACTGGAGAGGGTGGATGGAGGCCACAGGAAAGAGGTCTCCACAGTGGAGGATGGAGGGTAGGGGAGGCCACTGAATGCCTGGGAGTTGTTTTACAGCTTTGTCAGAAAGTTTAGGGGAAGAATAGAGGATACATAGAAAGAAGGGAATGAAAAATTGGGCCATTTATACAAGAAAAAGAAAAGCAATCATTCATGGCTCATGTGTGACAAGTACGTATTAAGTAATACTAATGTAACCCAGTATATTAGGAGAATAGAGGAGAGAAAATATGGAAGGAAGGAAATGACAGTGTAAGAGCAAAATCTTTATATTTCAGAAGGAGCTTATAAGTAATATCCTAAACTGAAAACCCCAGGAATATTAGTATAGAGTCTATAGACTAAACTTAGAAACAGAGTCGCAAATTCCTGAAGAAACAGCTACGTGTTGAAAGCTTGTTGGTACCTTGTGGGGGTGGGGGCAGCACCACGTGATGAAAGGTGTAGGTTTCTGAGGTCTGCTATTTTTCATTAAGCACTGATTTATGTTATTTGTCATTTAAAGCTATGAACATATATTTCTTTGATAGAAAAGAAATGCTTAACATTTTTAGTTAAAACAAGCTACTTAGAGACTCTGCTAAAATGTTACTGGACTATGTTACTTGTGCAATGAAATACAAACAGGAAAAAAGAGGTTTGTAGCTCCAGCAAATAGGTCACACACACTATCCTGTTAAACTCAGGTTTTCCATATCTCCTGACCTCTGTAAATATCAGGATAACTGTAACAATGCTCTAATCACCACCAACAAAATAGGGTCTGAAAGATGGTGCTAAAGCTCGTGTTCAAACGAGGAAGCTATGCTACTGGACTAAATTTCACTTTTCTCTGATATCCAGAAAGTAATCTTTTCAGGGGAAGTGGTATTTCTACACCTAACAACAAAAAGTACTCCCTCTAAAAAGAAAAGAAACCAAAACCTGAAATCCTATGAGATGTCACCTGTTTCAATTGTATTGGGTTGTCGGAAAAGTCATGACGCATGTTTGCAAAAGATGGCGCTAGTTCATTTTTGGAAGTACTAGAGTCATTCGCATCTATGTTATTCCTATGTCATTTGACAGCTGACAGTTCTAGCTTCATTCTAAAAAAAAATTGAGCGATTTTGTTGAGTTTGGGATATTTTACAACAAGTTGAAAATAGAAGACCAAACTGTGCATTTTTGCCATATTTTACTGTTTTACTTCCATAAAGGGAAGAACACGCATCAAGCTTGTGAAAAATTGCAAAAAGTTTACAGTGACAATGCTCTACAGGAACGTCAGTGCCAACAATGGTTCATGAAATCCCATGCTGGTGATTTTGATCTCAACAGCGCTCCTTGGTCAGGGAGGCCCACCGAGGTTGATGACGACAAAATAAAGGCATTGATTGAGTCAAACCCACGTTATACGACACGAGAAATTGCAGAAACATTGAACATCCATCATTCAAGCATTCACGACCACCTGAAGAAGCTGGGATACATAAGCAAGCTCGATAGTTGGGTTCCGCATGAACTCAAATTAGTTCATTTGATGGCGCGTATAAACATCTGTAATATGCTCATTAAACATGAGGAAAACAATCCTTTTTTGAAGCGACCAATAACTGGTGATAAGAAGTGGATTGTTTACAACAATGTGGTGTGCAAACGGTCTTGGTCCCAACATGATGATTCGCCTCAAACTGCATCAAAAGCAGACATTCATCAGAGGAAGGTTATGCTCTCAGTATGGTGGGATTTTAAAGGTGTTGTGTTTTTCAAGCTCCTACCAAGGAACCAAATCAATTTGAATGTGTACTGTCGGCAATTGAACAGTTTGAACGAATCCATCATCCAGAAACGTCCAGAGCTTGTTAATTATAAAGGAGTTGTGTTCCATCACGACAACGCAAGACCATACACAAGTTTGATTACCCATCAAAAATTACTAGAGCTTGGACAGGATGTGTTGCCACGCCATATTCACCTGACCTTGCGCCGTCAGACTTCCACTTGTTTTGCTCTCTTCAAAACTCTTTGTGTGGTATAATGTTCAATTCAGATGGGGCTATAAGTCAGCAACTTGTTCAGTTTTTCACAAATAAAGACAGGTCCTTCTATAAATGAGGAATTATGAAGCTCACTGAAAGATGGCAAAGGTTATCGAACAAAACGGGCAATATATCATTGATTGATCTTTATTCTTTATATAAATAAATGACCTTTGAAAAATATAGACAAAATACGTCATGACTTTCCTGACAACCCAATAGAAATAATTTTCTTTAAAATTGTTCTATTGTTATGAGGATTAAAACAAAACAAAACAAAACAGCGAACAAATTGGGAGCTTGAAGTGAAGAAGAATCAAACACTTATCACATATTCCTAATCACAAGAATGCGATGTATTTGCACAATTATCAGGTTTTTAAAAAGTGTATAATGTAAATTAGTATTATAATCTTTCTAATGTTTCTATAATTCTTCTCTAGTCTTGTATTAAGACTCTGTCATAGTATCTGTCAGTTATTATAGTTTATTTAGACAAGCATCTGAAACTTATTAGCATGATCCTTCTTTATTTAACAAAAGCTACAGGAATATACCTGGCTAAGAGAAACATTAGTACCTCAGACTTGACTACCACTATCCAGTTTTCCTATTTTTATACTCTTATATTTTCTATCAACCAAAGATTTTTTTAAATAATATGAACCCTATGTTTTAAAATATCAAAACAAACATGGTAACCAGAAGGTGAATATTATTTGACCATATAACCACATAGAAATAAGAATTTGCTAAGACAGACTGGGAAAAAAAAGGATTTATGAGTTTATGCAAAACCCCTTTGTAACAAATTAGAAAAGTCGCAATCTAGGAGTCAAAAGTTGTGATACGTTGTCTCCTTTCAGACTTTTCCACCTCCCTTCCCCAAGTCTCATAAACTAACTAAAGTAGAACTTCAAAGGTACTTGAAAAATCCCCTTGTCCAACTCTGGACACTGAGCAAGAAGCTCTTTGACAGCATCCCTGAAAAACAGTCATGGAACTCTGTTAAATGAACACTAGATATAAAAGCATACCTTTACTGGGCCGCCGAGTGGTGCGTTGGTTAAGAGCTGGCTTGGGACGCCAGAGGACCCTGGTTCGGATCCCACATATGAGGGCCAGTGACACTGCCCTCCACAAAAAAAAAAAAAAGCATACCTTTACTGATAGGGGGCTTTACTGCCTGCTATCATGGCCTTATCCATACTTAAGCAACTTCAATGGTTAGAAAACTCTTCCTCATGTTTGGCCAGCTGGGACCTGGATGGACTTTATCACTGGGGATGCTGCCACTGTAAAGTGGCATTTGCTTCTAAGAAAGATCAGTTAGGCACCCGACTGACTATACAATTTATTGTCCAAACTGGAACATGAAGTGAAGGGGATACTAGAAATAATTATATCAGCACTGCCCCAGGTAGCCTGGTGTATGTGAGCACCCTAACTATAAGGGTCAGGCCCCGAAAGAGGCGGTCAGGACATGGGAAGGTCAGCAGAACCTCCACCAACTGAGTATGAGCTCAGAGCTCAGTGCGTTCTTGTCAACATGCCAAGGCTGTTCATGCGAGGCAAACAACATGTCAGAGAAAGTTTAGGGAATGAGAGGTATTTGCATATCTGCATACCAAATACCAGGCTTAGGCTCAGGACAACAAATGAATTCCAGACCACTGATTAGGAGGGAAAAGTCCCCAGTTTACTCAAGGTATGTTCTGGCACAAGGCAGGGCCCAGCCTGTGTATCCTGGTCTTCAGTTGCTGCAACCCAGCAGGCCTCAGGTAGGCGTGACTGGCTCATAGCTTCAATAACAGTCTTCCTTTAGTTTTCTGGAGCAATGGAGAAGTTTCCCTTACAGGAAATCCCTTCAAACATTTGAAAACAGCTTTCACAACTTTCTTTTATCTTTTCTTCCACTAGCTGAACATATACAGTTTCTGCAGCCATGGGAAATGTGGTGCTCCAGACTGAACATGCTGATATTCCAAGTGAGGGCCCCCTGCACCAGAGCAGGGTAAAATTATCATCTAATCTAACACATGCTTCAGAGAAGGGCACCATCTATTATTGGTGCCCATTAAGCTTGGGGTCAAATACCTCCCCTAGAATTTTTTTCGTAGAAGAGAGTTCTGCTATCAAGTCAGGTCTCTTGCATTCTGTACTTGGAAATTTAATTCTTTGATCCCAAATGAATGACTCTTTGCTCTTTCCATTACACGTGGAAGGAAGCACAGAGGAGACGGTCAGGCCCAGGCTGGAGCTGGAGCTCTTCAGCTTGTCCCCTGTGGTCCTGAGCTTCGTTGTTGATGATCGGCTTCCTCAATGAGGAAGAGGGTGAACTGGATGAGTAAATACAGGTGAAAGCACTTTGTAAACTCTGAAGTGAAATCAGGATCTAAGAGTATGTGTATTATTTCATTCATTCATTCCACACATTTTTATTTACTACAGTACATACAACCAGACATCACAGTGGGTGCTGAGGATATTGCTCTTGCCTATAATTAATGCCTACAGAGATGATACAATTAGCTGCCTCTTGAATTTCTCATTTATACAATTAACTGTCTGTTCTGGTTTTGTGTTATCTAAAAATGTGGTGACAATTCTTTCTATGCATTTTCTAGACCTCTTTATTAATGTATTAAATATAAATGAGAGATGATTCTTGCAGCATTCTAGTACAGACCCTTTTTCAAGTTGTTACAGGTAATTCATTCTGATTAGATGCAGTTTTTCACAGACATCTACATAGTGTTATACTACTGTGGGATTTAAAGTGAATGAGTTTTCTGAACCTCATTTCTCACCCATAGCTGTCTCGGCTGCACCACAGCACTCTTTCCCTATGAAGCTGCAGAAAATCATTCTCTTTGTGGTACCCTAGGCTAGTACTCCCCATCCAGCCGAGAGGGCAAGCAAGCTGGTAACTATTTACTGTTTTGGATTTCCACATATTTCACCAACATAACTGAGAATGTAGCAAAAACCTGCCAAAGTATTATTTGCTGTTTTCCTCATTTGCCTTGGTGACTTGGCAATTTGGGCAGCCCTTCTGGGCGGTTTGATGGCAAAGATGGAGAACTGAAAGGAGTGATAGATAACATCTAGCTGACATGAGGACACAAGACAGGGCCACTTTTTCTTTAGTTTTCTTCTCATCCTTTCTCTATGCAGGGCAAAACCAAAATTATTGCACAGATCACTTACTGGAGAAAATTATTTAAAACCAATTTTTAAATTTCCATCTACCAGAATATGCATAGAGCTTTGGCATAGGCTCTTTCTCTACAATGACAGTACTGTAGGGCTCAAAAAGGTTAAGTGATATGTATCATACATTCGTTCATTCATTCATTAATTCCACAAATAACTACTGAGTGCAGAGGATATAGGAGTGGATGCTACAGTATTTTGGTAGGTCAGAAATGTGGTCAGAGTGAAGCAATGTGATTCCTCTGTAAACAAACCAGCCTCAAAACTGTCAGGGGACATTTAAGGAGTCCCACAGCAATCATGCCATGTTCAAAGATACTGAAAAAGATGCCTGGTTAATACTGCTTGATTGCATCAGACCCAGAAGCCCTGCGGAGAGGCACTTGAACTTGGTCTCAATTGTACAGACCTAGCTAATAGACTGGCAGCTTCTAGGAGGGAACTGGAAAATGAGACAGTGGACATCTTAGAGATAAAGCACATGAGAGATCAGCTTGGTAGAGTGAGTCTGAATAGCAGGTCCTGCTGATTGAAGAGGTAATGACACCAGCTACTATGCCAGGTTGCTGTGCATTGCTGGGAGAGGAGGGACAGGACATCAAGGAAAGAACAATGTCACCAGGGGCCCAACCCTCACTTCTGGCAAACTCTTCTGGGCATAGGGAGCCCACAGCATTGCTCTGCTAACTGTAGAAAGAGCACTGGAGCAACGGAGGAGGTGGAGTTAAGCGTCATGAAGAAGTCGCTGGCAGGATGAGAGAGCAAACCAAGGGTATCAAAAAAACACTGGTCAACAAAGCAGGAAGACTGAAGAGACTCAGGTGGCCATTTCCACATGGACTTAGAAGGAATACCTGGTGGGGGGAACTCTCCAGAAAAAAACAATGCTGAACATTTATGATAATCAAGAGGAAAGGAGTCCATACACCTGAAACTAATAATAATAATAATAATAATAATAATAATAATAATAATAATAATTTTATATTGGTATAAAAAAAGAGGAAAGGAGTCCCAGATCAGTAAGGTCTAGGGTACTGCAGGTGAAATCTAGGAAATATCCATTATAGGGCAAAGAGTTAAAATTAGATGCCATATGTTTATGATGGATAGACTAGTTTAAATGGACTCCATCCATCTATATGACCATAACATTTAACGATACTAAGCTTACCATCTTTGATAGTATTGTAAAAAGGATCACACTGATTGGTTTGACAGAGGTACAATAGGACAGATCTTAGTACAATTTCATTACTAAAAATGGATACAGAAATGTTCTCTTGTATAACAGTTATTGTCTAGATCACTTATTTTTTCTATAAATGTATAATTAATAATGGGCAAATAAAAATAGGTAGGCACTTCTTACATTGTAATGGCTCGTGGAAAAGTCTTTGAACTATTAGTTTGTACGTAGTTTCATCTTCAATCAGCACTCGGGCTGCTTCCAAATTCACTGGATTTTTTAGAACTGGATTAGAAAGCATAACCTATATAAAAAAATACAGTTTTTTTAAGTAAATTTTTTTTCTTAGAGCAAAAAAGACAAACCAATACATACAACATTCAAGAAGCATTTATTAAATGCCTACAATGTAACTGCCTGGAAATAGATACAAAGACAAATGAGACATAGTCCCTGCTCTCAAGAAACTTTTGACCTATCTTGGTTTTATACTGTACATTCACGAGCCAAACATTAGAATCAAAGAGAGTTACAAGCTCCTTCCTACACCTTATTCCTTCCTATCACATAAATTTAAATTGGATGTATGTGTAAAAAGAACTTAACATTAGGAAACACTGAAACATTTCCATTAAAAAATAAAAACTTACATTGTGTAACATGAGATCATATTTAGATCACAGGTAAAACAAACACATTTATAAAGGCTTGTGTACACTCCAATATCCCCCTAGATCATCATATGATTAATTTGGTATCTGTAGCAGTTTTCTAGTGCGGCTGTAACAAATTACCACAAATGTAGCAGCTTAAAACAATACACATTTATTATCTCACATTTCTGCAGGTGGGAAATCTAGCATGGTTGAGCTGGTTTCCCTTGTCCAGATATAATAAGACTGAAATCAAGGTGTTGGCTAACTGGGCTCTCATCAGCGGTTCTGGAAGAATCTGCTTCCAAGTTCATTCAGGTTGTTTGTTACATGAACGCAATCCCTTGCATTTGAAGGACTGAGGTCCCTCTTTTTTTGCTGGCTGTTAGCTGGGAGCCACCCTCAGCTCCAAGAGGTCTCTTGAAGGTCCTTACCCATGAACCCCTATATCGCAGAGTGAGTAAAAGTGTGAAAAATCCTTCTCATAATTGGAATCTCTCTGATGTGTCCCCCCCTCCGCCACATCCCTTCTCCTTCTTCCACTGTATTTCTCTGAGTGACTCTTCTGCCTTCCTCTTCTACTGTTAAGGACTCACATGATTACTTTGCCCCCCTAACCCCCTACATAATTCAGGATAACCTTCTGATTTTAAGGTCCGCTGATTAGTAACCATAATTCCATCTGTGAAGTTCTTTCACAGCAGTACCTAGATTAGTGTTTGATTGAATAACCAGAGGATGGGTGTGCTGGGGGAAATCTTTAAAATTCTGCCTATCATAATATATGTGCATTTGGACAAAAAAGGGGACCAGCCATAACTAAAACTTAATAGTTAGACCATGATCTACTAGACCATGATCTTGTTTATCTGGTATCTCAAAATTAACATTAGCCCAAATTGCAAACATTAATTTAATAATCAGTATTTTGAATATTACATTATATCATTCAAACTATATAATAAAATATAGCCAAAAGAATAACTAACAGAATACCTAAATATAGATGCAGGACAAGGTGGATAATTGTGACTTAAGAGTCATGGAAATGATGGCAATCTTTCACTAATGAAAGCAATAATCTGACATCTGTTATTTCAAAATCAACAAAAATTTTCTGCTATTTGAGTTTTCCTATTAGGAAAACACATTTGAGCTACATTTCCAAGAATATTATAATTGCTTAAATAAGGACTCAATGTGGATTGCACTATACCTTTCAAAGTGGGTGGGAAGCAGATGAAACTTATCTTTAAGAGCAAGCTTTTAGTCTTTGGCTGGAAAGATAATCTTTCTCAGAGAGGCACATCTGGTAAAGTTTATTCAACAGTCTTCCCACTGACACTGTGCCTAAGACCTTTTCGTGTACTGTGTATACAAGCTACTCAGTATACTTAATGATTTTTAAGAACTGGATAATAAGGCATATATGCAAATGTATAAATCAGGCACCCTACTGAAATAGTAAAACTTGTAGCCATGTGATAGTATGAAATAACATAGAAAGCTCTATAGATGATAAGCACAAAAATTGAAGTATCAGTAAACAACTGCGCCTAAGCATATTTTCTAATATCCAATTAGTTAAATCCAATGAATTTGGGATTAATTCTATGGATGGGTGTTGATATTTACCTTTGCATTATATGTGAAGGTGTTAAAAAAATTAAGATTATAAAAAATTTTGGAGGAGATGATTAATATGTTTAGACACTAAACTGTTTTAAACACTACTTCAAGTATCACTCCCTTGAATAACAATGTGATAATTATAAATGTGTCTCACCTGTTACTTGAAGGGAAGTAGTCGGAAATTATGGTCTATACGTGTACTGCCCATTTCAGTAGGCTGTAGCCACAGGTGACAATTTCCATTTAAATTACTTAAAATTAAAGGAAAAACTGAGTTCCTCAGTTACACTAGCTACATGTCCAGTGCTCAGTAACCACATGTGACTAGTGGCTACTCTACTGGACAGCGCAGATAGTGGACATTTTCATCACTGCAGAAAGTTCTATTGGGTGGCACTGACCTGGAAAGCACTATTAAATAGCCACTAAAATATTAACTGTAGCGATATGGAAATTACTTGAGACAAAATGTGGAGTTAAAAAGAAACAGGTTATATAATTTATACATATACATACATACATACATACATATATGTGTGTGTGTGTGTATATATATATATATATATATATATATATATATACACTACAATTGCAATGATGTAAAAATTCAGGTCATTCCTTGCTGCATTCATGTTACTTAGTATCTCCTAAATGTCAGCACTGTTCTGGGTTGGTTCTGGGGATCAAAGATGCATCAGTCCTGTTCCTTGACCTCGAGGAGCTTGTCGTCCAATAGGGGAAGACCAATAAGGAAGCAGTATGTGCGTTACAGTAGTATAGAGCTCTGATAGGAATGGGCTTAGGGAAGTGTTCTCTGGGTGAGGGACAAAGGAATCCCCTCAAAAACCAAAGCCATGTAGGAAAAGAAACCAAGAAAGGCATTTCAGAGGAAGACTCATTTGACCTGACTCTTATGAGGTGAGCAGTTGTTGGCCAGACAGACTGAGGAAGAGGGAGGGAGAAAATGGGTTGCCAATTAGAGAACTGGACTGAGCATGTTTTAAGGTCCAAGATTTTCCTGGCTTTGTAACTTTACAGTTTGGAAGTCTATAAATGCTTTTTAAACCTGAATGGAACCGAGCACTATTAGAGAAGAAAAGTATGAAGGTATCATAGGAATGGGGTTTACTTCTCACATTTGTCAGGCAACAGAACTGGCTTTACCCTGCCGCGAATGTGGAACTGAAAATTTTTAAACATAAAAAATCGGAGAAAAGATCAGAAAGAAATGCTAATAACAGTAGGATTAGGGTTTTTCTTTGTAACTACTAGTGATTTTCTTTTCCTTTCCACTGTTTTAAAAATCTTCTATAATGTGGGTATATTTGTTTTATGAATCTATTTGAAAAAATAAAAAGACAACTTTGTTATCTATGGGCTTTCCATTATATTTTTCCATGACAACACTTTGTTGTCACTTTGCATTAATATTTAAAAGTAAGAACAATAATAACTAACTAGCTTTTATTAAGTTATTTTCTTGGACCACACACAGTTCTAAGTATTTTATATGCATTCATTCATTTAATCTGTACATGTCACATGAGGTAGCTACCAACAACTCCATTTTACCGATGAAGAAATTGAGTCATTGAGAAGTGAAATAACTTGTCCAATGATACACATAATGTGGCAGAACCAGGATGTGAAACCAAGCAATCTAATCTCAGAGCCCCAAATTTACCTTTTATTAAATCATTGTGCTATTCAAAATTTTCACCATTTCCTTCTGGTTTGCCCTCACTCATTACATTTTGGGAACATTGTTTCTAGTCTTTCTTTTTTTCCCCTAAGATTGTATTGGGGAATTGGGGAAGGGAAACAGTGTTGGGGAATTGTGGAAGGGGAATAGCCAAGTTATTGTCCTTCAGTCTTAGTTGTGGAGGGCACAGCTAGCTCAGCTCCAAGTCTAGTCACCATCCGGCCACCTGTCGGCAGCTCATGGCTGCTCATCTCAAGGTGTTGTGTTCAATCTTAGTTGTGGGTGGCATAGCCCACCATCTCATGCAGGAGTTGAACTGGCAACCTTGTTGTTAGGAGCATATGCTCTCACCAGCTGAGCCATCCTGCCACCTACTCTCAGTTTGGGCACAGCTCACTTGCCCATGTGGGAATCAAACCGGCGACCCTGTTTCTCAGAGCTTACACTCTTAACCAACTGAGCCACTCGGCCAGCCCTCAGTTTCTATTCTTAAGGCAGATCCTAATTTAGGTGGAAAAGGTAGGAATATGATTCAGTTTAAAAGAATCCAAAAGATCAACCCCAGTTATCTGTATATCATGCTCACTCACTTCCTTAAAGTTTTTGCTCAAATGTCTCTCCTAGAACATGGCCTGGCACCCATAGAGAGATGCTCAATACATATTTGTAGAATGAATGAGTGAATGAATAAGTAAAACATTGAATCTTTAAAAAAAGATTAAATTTTATTCAGTATACTAAGATGACTAAACAAAAAGCTATTATTTTATTTAAACAAGAAATGGGAGAAATGGAACTTGTATTATATTTCTGCTACTGAAAAATTCAATTAAGCCAGAATCTGTTATTTTCAAGTATTCCAGATAATCAGAATTTAATAGTTTATCTTCATATATTATTAATGATGAGTATGTTCATGTAGTAATTCACTGAGCAGGTCAAGGCTCAATATCTGTCAGTCTTCAAAGCAAGTGCCACTGAAGTAATTTACTTTGTCATTGAATGAGAAAGGGGGCTTGTTGAAGGTCAAGAATGACACCACACTGGGGCCAGGAAGTAAAGGGGCGTTTGAGAAACAGACATCTACCTGAGGGCAGAAGAAACTCTCTGGCTTAATTGTTCACTGGGTTTGATATGAAAGCAAGTAGCTAGCTCTGTCAGAAAAACAGGATAAAGCTGCTCACTTTAAGTTGTAGTCACTTGAGTCACCTCTCTGAAAAAGGCAAGTTTCATAAATGAGGAAAGATATGAAATTATATTATGAAATAATGTTAGAAGCCAAAAGAAAACCTAAAACTATATTTCTAGAATTGAAACTATCCAAACAGTGTTTTTTCTTTTATAAAAGGCCTTAAATAACAATTTCACTTCAAAATAATAGTTTTTATAATTCAAGTCCCATTTCATAATCTCGATGTAAATATATTATTGATTTAAATAAGTTTACTGAAATCTTTCAACATTTACATAGGCATTACACATTTTAGTCCTCATGTTTTGAATAACTGGGATAATTAAAAGTATTAAAGAGGGAAATTGATATTAATCTGATCTTACCTGCAGAGTAAGCAAGATACTGCTCAATGTATAGCTTGTGTTCCACTTATCAGGGTTGTCCAAAAAGTCTATACAGGGTCGACCAGTACGTTGGTCTACTGTATTAAAATAATACATTAATATTAATAGTGATATATATATATATATAATAAAATTATTATAGGCAACATTAGAAAGTAATGACAAAGCAGAAAAATTATTTGTAGTGAATATGACAGACATTTAATACACTGTAGCTGTTAAAAGCATTGACGTTGGTGTCAGACACACTGATTTGAACATCAACTCTATGTGACATTGAGCAATTAACTTTACTTCTCTAGGTTTCACATTCCTAATATGTGAAATGGGGATACGATTAAAGTATGCACCTTCACTGTAAAGAATGAATAAAATAAAGTACTTAATAGAGCCCTTGGCATATAGTGAATCCTTGAAAACGATAGCTGTCATTATTAATGATACTTTTAGTAATGTGTAATTTTTTTTTAAATTTTATTGGGGAACAGTATGTTTTTCCAGGACCCATCAGCTCCAAGTCAAGTAGTTGTCTTCAATCTAGTTGTGGAGGGTGCAGCTCCTTGGCCCATGTGGGAATTGAACCACCAACTTTGGTGTTATGAGCCTTCGCTCTAACCACCAGAGCTAACCGGCCACCCGTATATAATTTTTATAAATGAAAAAGAAAAACATTTATACTCCAATAGAAGAAACTTGCAACAAAAAAAAGTAAAAACTGAGAAGAAAGTTTTGAAAAGGGAAAATAGGGATCTTTGATTTAATATATTACTTCGTATTGTAAAACCACAATAATTATAACAATGCAGTGGGACACAAGATTAGACAGAAAGAATGATGTAATAAGAGAATTTAGAAAAAAATTCTAGTATGTATTAAAACTGTTGTATGTTAAAAGTGAAATTATGATTCACTGGTGAAAGAAAAGATAGATAATCAAGAAATGGGATAAAAAGTGTTGTTGCAAACTACTCATCGTCCTCCAGTATCTGCTCTTTCTTTCTTCCATTTCTTCTCTCTGTAATAAGATCACTATGTCTGTCCCCAATCCCTATTAACTCATGCTGTCTAGATGAATACCTGGCTGCTCAGACTATTTCTCTCAGCCTCCCCTCTAGCAAGATGGAGCCATGTGACTAAGTTTTAATCATGGGATATCAATAGAAGTAAAGTATGCAACTTCTGGATCATATTTTCTTAAGGAAGTTGTTTTGCCCTTTTCTCTTTCTCTTTCCCTTTCCCACTGGCTGGAAATGGTGACAAACAGTAAATGCCTTAGATCTAGAAATGGGAGCCATATGTCGAGGATGGCAAAACCTCCCTGCCAGCTTTGTTCTATTATATAGAGATTGGAAAGATATACAGAAGCTTGGCCTGTGCCCTAACACAGTTAATTAACTAAATCTGTATTTGAAAAAAAAAGGAGTGAAATATGAAAAATAAAACCATAGAATAACTAGAAGAAAGTTAAAATGATTTCATTGTTTTTTGGGGAAAGATCATCTAAGCTTAAAGATAATTGTAAAAACTCTCAAAGGACAAGACAAATGTGACTACATAAAATTTTAAAAATCCCAGATGTAAATAAAGAAACAGAATCAACAAAATTTAACAATTAATGACAAATGAAGGGAAATATTTGCAACATCTAGGACAATGTGATGCACTGTTAATAAGCTGGATAATTCACAAACTAAGAAACACAATCAAAAGATGTGAAAAAATGTTTAGATCACAAGTATTCAAAGAATTGCTTATTAAAATATCAAAAAAGATTCTTATCAAATTGGCAAAAAAAAATTTCTCCAAAGTTTCAATGTCCAGAATCGGAGGGTGGTAAATGTGAACTGTATATATGATTCCTGGTGGAAATGTAAATAACATCACTGAAAGGCAATTTGGCTTTCTGTATCTATGTACATTTAGAACTGTACATAGCCATCTTTTGGAGTTTGGGGTATAATAATACTCCTCTCCTCCAAGGTTTGTATATAATGAAATAGACCACAGTGTTGAAAGATGCAAGTAAAAATTATCAACTTTACTGTATGTAAGACGGAAATGGAGAATGTACTTGATCAACGTTTAATTGAGTTCCACAAATGTCCCCCTGATTTGAATTTAATCCCTCAGCGGAAGGCCTGCCTAGGTTTCCTGTCTGGAGAAACAGGGACGACGCCCACTCTATGGTCAGGCTGGTTGGAAAGAAAGTGTCGGGAAAGTGGTGTGCCTCACGTGCTCAATTCTTCTTCACATCTCCCCTGTTAGATAAGTCACTTCTCCTTGGAGGAGGAGTGAGGGAGAGAAAGAAGAACAATCACACGTTCTCCCACATTTCTCCCTCCTCTTTATTAATGTATAAAGACACAACAGGGCCGGACGAGTGGCTCAGTTGGTTAAGAGCTCACTCAAGAGTGCGAGCTCTGAGCAACAGCGGTTCAAGTCCTGGCCCGAGCTGAGCTGCCGATGACCTGTCAACAGGTGGCAGGATGGCTCAGCTAAAAATAAATAAATAAATAAATAAATAAATAAACAAATAAATAAATAACACAACAGGTTTCTGTGTATTGAATGATTTTGTATCCTGAAACTTTACAGAATTTGTTTATTAGTTCCGACAGTTTTTTTTCGGTGGGTCTTTAATATTTTCTATATATGATATCATGTCATCTGCAAACAGTGACAGTTTTATGTCTTCCTTTCCAATGTGGATGCCTTTTATTTCTTTTTCTTACCCAATTGCTCTGACTAGAACTCCCAGTGCTATGTTCAACTATGCAGAAAAAATACATAGATAGTGATAAGGAAATACATTTGGTTAAATGTTGAGAGTAGTATCCCTTTGAATCAGGATTCAAGGTGATTAATTTTTTAAAATATTTTGCCCTGTAAGCACACTTACTTTGATAATAATAACAAAGTTGGGAAAAAGAAACATTACTAAACACGAGTAAGGAACAAGGATAATAAGGACAGAGCTCCGATGATAAACACCTCATTTGGTCCTTACCATTTGGATGAAAAGGAATAGTTCTAAATGTCACAACTGGAGGGACAAAATTGTACTCCAATGAGAAATTTATTGTCAGTGGGAAGAATATTCCTGCAATATAGAAATAAACATTTTTACCATAGTGTCATGTGGTACTGGCTACCTGTAACCTGATTAACACTGAAGTTTCTTCCTACAGTTTAGCCTCCCATGGTCCCTAAAGTTATCATTTTTAAGTAAATTGGATCATAGGGTGCAGAGACCCCTCTAGATGGTATAATAGGTTCCTCACAAACGAATCCTACAATGTTATCAGCCTGTTTCCCTCCAGTCCTTTCCAATCATTAACTCCATCCTCCTAACACCTGCTCCCTTCATTGTGTATCTCTTGTTGACTGAACTCACTGTTCCAGAATTTTCTGCACCCTCTCTTGTTTATAAGACTTTGCCTAGAACAAAGTCGGGGGGCTCACACTTCCAGACATTAGAACGTACTACAAGGCCACAGTAATCAAAACAGTATAGTGCTGGCATAAAAACAGGCACATAGATCAATGGAACAGAATAGAGAGCCCAGAATTAAATCCAGGCATACACGGGCAGTTAGTCTATGACAAGGGAAGCAAGAATTTACATTGGGGTAAAGATAGTCTATGTAATAAATGGTGCTGGGAAAATTGGACTGACACATGCAAAAAAATGAAACTGGACCACCTCCTTATGCCATATACAAGAACAAATTCAAAATGGATTAAAGACTTAAATATAAGACCTGAGACCATAAAACTCCTAGCAGAAAATATAGGGTCTAAATTTGCAGATATTACCCTGAGCAATATTTTTACTGATACATCCCCGCAGGCTAGGGAAGTAAAAGAAAAAATGAACATATGGGACTACATCAAACTTAAAAGTTTTTTCACAACAAAAGAAACCATCAATAAAACAAAAAGGAAGCCTACTGAATGGGAGAAGATATTTGTCAACAAGATATCTGATAAGGGGTTCATATCCAAAATATATAAAATGCTCATGCAACTCAACACCAAAAAAACAAACAACCCAATTAGAAAATGGGCAGAGGATATGAAGAGACATTTCTCCAAAGAGGACATACAGATGGCCAACAGGCATATGAAAAAAATGTTCAACCTCACTTAGCATTAGGGAAATGCAAATAAAAACCACAATGAGATACCACCTCACCTCGGTCAGAATAGCTATCATCAATAAATCAACAAACAACAAATGCTGGCGAGGTTGTGGGGAAAAGGGAACCCTGGTGCACTGTTGGTGGGACTGCAGATTGGTGCAGCCACTATGGAAATCAGTATGGAGGTATCTCAAAAAACTGGAAATGGAACTACCTTATGACCCAGCAATCCCACTCTTAGGTATTTATCCAAAAAAACCCAAGACATTAATCCGAAAAAAATATATGCACCCCTATGTTCATTGCAGCGCTATTTACAATAGCTAAGACTTGGAAACAACCGAAATGCTCATCGGTAGATGACTGGATTAAGAAACTATGGTACATTTACACAATGGAGTATTACTCAGATATAAAGAAGGAAATAGTACCATTTGCAACAATATGGATGAAACTAGAGAACATTATGCTAAGTGAAATAAGTCAGTCAGAGAAAGACAAATACCATATCATCTCACTTATACGTGGATTCTAAAAAACTGAATAAATGAGAAATATAAGCAGAAATAGTCTCAGAGACACAGAGGAAAAACTGAGGGTTTCTAGTTGGGAGGGGGTGGGGATGAAGGAGAAGAGGAAGGGACGAGACAATACAAATTGATAACTACAATATGGCCTCAGGGATAGACAAGACAGTCTGGGGAATATAATCAATAATGTTGTAAATATTTTTTAGGGGGCCAGATGGACTCATGTCTTGTTAGGGAGACGACTTCATAGTTGGTGTAGAGGCCTGACCACCGCACTGTATATCTGAAGCTGATGTTGAATAATAATGTATGTCAACTATAATTATATATACATATTGTCACGGGACATGGAGTAGAGAGTGGGAATGGAGTCAATGGAATTGTAATAGGTAAGTATGATATCAGGGATGGGAGGGCAGTAGATGGGGGGAGGGGGGTTGTTACTTTGTGAGGGTGAAAAGGATAACTATTGCATTGTTCTGTACACCTGAAACTAACAATAAAATTAAAAAAAAAAAGACTTTGCCATTCTGTTTACTCTACCTGAATTTCCTATCCGTCCTTCTATACCTGGCAAACTCTTATGCATTCTTCAGGACTCAACTCAAATGTCACTTCCTTACAAAGTCATTCCTGACTCTCCAAGGCAAACTTTACTAATCACTGCCTCCTCAGAACTCTGTTCAAAATCCATAAAAGCACATATTATATTTTACTGTAATTATCTGCTTTATATGTTGTTCTCCCCTACTTCACTCAAAAAAGCTATCTTATTAATCCACGATTGAAAGAGTACATGATCACTAAAGTTTATAGTGGCCCAGTCTTCTTCAGAATTTGACAGATGGAAATTTGGGTGAAAATCATAGAGAAAAACAATGAGAGGTAATTGTGGGATTGTGATGCCAACAGGATTTTTGATTGCTATTCTCTGATTTCATGGAAGAGTGTTAGAATGTATTCTTAATTGTTATGCTTTACTGTGTCTATTTCTGAAAAATGTAATAACATTAAGATTTGGCATAAAGAGAAATTCAAACCTAAAATTTCCATCTAGGTTGACAAATGGCAGAAAACTAAGCCATAGAATGAAAAAATAACATGTGAATATTTTCAGAATTTTAGAAAATTTATATAATGCCACCTTATTATAAAGAGGATAGACTAATAATGGTATAAAAGCTTTTCAAAAAGTAGTTTGGTTTTGAAAATACATACCATGCCAAATTGTATTCTGTAGACCTTCAATATTAGCTTCCCATTCCATCTTATCATCACTTATAGGAAAGGCAGTAATGCCCTTTAATTAAAAAAAAATCAAAGCAGAAAATAAGATTAAACATTTATTGCAGCTTTGAAAATCAGATATCAGGTTACAATGAATTCCAAAACTCTACATTTTCTTTTCCTGATAATTTATTTATTCGTTGATTTGAGGAGGTGATATGTATTGTGTTATTATACAGATACTAAGATAGATTCCAGGAAACACACACAACAGCAAGTTTAAAATAAGGCCTAAGTGTGGAAATCACAAGTGAGACTAGAAGGTGAAGATTGAGACGTGTGGCTTATGTAAGTCAATAGCCAATTTAAGATAAAAATTAGAAAAGAAGGAAATAATTGGAAAGCATGCATTTCTTCAGAGCTTTTAAAAACTATACAGATGCTATATAGAAGGCATGAAAGAAATCTTCATTAAGAAAAACACAACTCCAAAATTATGCTTGTATACAAAAACAAATTTTCCCTACACTTGAGGCATTGTCCCAATGGAAGGACAAGAATGTATTTCATAGAAAACCTTAACAATTATGCTGAGGAACATGCCTAAACACACTCAATAAATATTTCTGAGCAACCACATAGTTATTATGTTAGGTGTTAGTCTGGATAAACATTATAATATATTTATGATATCTACATTATCTATAGTTACAAATTATTTCTCCCTTCATGGGATTATCTTTTTTTTTTTTTTAAAGATTTTATTGGGGAATTGGGGGAGGGAACAGCATTGGGAATTGGGGAAGGGGAACAGACAAGTTGCTGTCCTTTGGTTCTAAGTCTAGTTGTGGAGGACGTTGCTTCACTGGCCCATGTTGGTATTAACATTGTGCTCTTCCTGGCTGAGCAAATCGGTCGCTGGCCACTAGACGGCCGCTCACGGCAGCTCATGCCGGCTGCTGGCCACTCTCAGTAGCTCACTGCAGCCCCGCTGCAGCCTACGCCGTCGCTGGCCACTCAAGGCAGCCCAGCTCCAGGTCGAGCTGTTGCTCACCATCTTAGCTGTGGAGGGCAGTGTCACTGGCCCACATGGGATCCGAATCCACAGTCTTGCTGCTCAGAGCTCATGCTCCCAAGCCAAGTCTTAACCAATGAGCCACTCAGCCCAGGATTATATTTCAACAGAGAACCTCAAAGTCCAGGGAGAGCAGAAACAATATCAAATGTTAGGGACACACCTCTGGGATGTTAGTTGTTGGACTCAGTAATTGTTCCTGACATCTCCAGTGAGGGCAATGCTTCTATAGCAGGGGTGGAAACAGAACAATGCCATTGAACTACGCATGAAACAACTGTTGATAGCTAGCACTCGACTCCCTCCTATGGACAGCTTTTTTTCCCTATTCTTTCTCTTTTGTTCCCTTTTACCCCATCTCTTCCATGTTTTAATATTCTCCACACTACATATGATAAATCAGCTTGTGGCACCCATCAACACTGATAACCTTATGGGTAGCATTTGGGGCAAAGCCTTCCTCTGTGTTAAAATTATAAGGGAAAGGCATTTATGTGTTATAAGTGACAGCAATTGACAAAAAGTGCACTGGATAAAAAGTGGTAGAACACAAGACTTAAGAGCAAGGGGTTTTGGAGTCAGAAAACCCTGTGATAGAATCCTGGGGCCAAATATTTACTGAACCTCTTGAACGTTTAGGTTTCTTGTGGGTAAAACAAAATGCTACTTACAGTACTGTAATTAATGAGAGCAACCCTGCATGACTAGTCACTTATACCTGATAGACCCTGGTTTTCAGGGCTCAATACCACATAAATGACTCAGTACGATGTGCTCAATATTGTTAACTATTATTATTGTTATTATTAAGTAATTATTATTATGAAATAGGTTGTTATAATAAAATAGATTTGTTAAGCAATAATACTGTAGTAGCAAATTAGGTTTAACTAAATTATGCCTTATAGAATAACTACAGATTAAACTGTTTTTAAAAAAATTCATACCCGAGTGAAACACATCCCTCCTGGTTCTCAAAACTCACCTCATATTTGTTTTTCTTCAACTCTTGGAAGTCTCTTTGAAGCAAGACGTAAGCTCTGCTGTGCATGATATGGCAGCAAAGGGTCTGGCACCTGTCCCACGCTCCTAGGGTTTACTCTGAGGCAGGTGTGTGAGGTTACAGGTCACCCTCCCACACCTAGTTAACTGATCTAAGTTACTTGCTTTCTAGAGCTGCAGAACGCTGTGTGCTCCCCAGATTAGTGGCTTCTAAATTGGGCATATAACAGTGATTTTCTTTTCTCCTCTGACTTCTCTAAACGAAGACTACCAGAAAGAAAACTTAGGCACGTTCTCGACTGCGATGCGTCACCGCAATGTCAGCCCACAGCTGAGTCTCAAGGCAGATTTGGACGAACACTTGGGACAACCCCTTGCTGTTTTTATGCGAAGTGGACGTAAGAGGCGTAGGCTTACGGTGGTGGTAGCGGGTTGACGTCTCTGCTTCACAGGTGTAACTGGGTGAACGCTTAGCTGGAGGACGCAAATCGGTTGCCAAGCAACAGGCCCTAAGGGAAAGTAGCGAGACCTCCCCTCATTCAATCAGAGAGTCGCGGTAGACCGCTGGAAACCTCCGCAGCCAATCGTGTAACCGTTTCACTTTGCAAGACCAATGAGATCCGTTGTCAAGGCGACACCCCTGCCTCTCTCAGTCCACCAACATGGACTTTACCTCTAGTGTAGTGAAGCCCCGGGGTCTAGTGTGTAAGTCACAGATGCCCTCGCTAGAAGTCCCTCTCCAGAGTGATCCTTTCTCTTTCTTTGAATATCAGAAACTATCAGGTAATAAGTGACCAGTCGGTACAGATCTACGCTTATTAATAACAATATCTTAACATATGGCAAACCATTCAATGTGCGGTCGCAGACGTTAGTATGCCATTAAATCCTAAAGTCCAGCAGCAGAGAACTACTTAAAATTTCTCAGATTCCCATCGCTTGCTGTAGTTTTGGATTGTATCCCAGCATACCTGTGTTTTAGTAGCCTACATAGTGTTGAAGAAGTTACTTAGCCTCCCTGTATCTACATTTTCTCATTTAAAATATGCAGCTTACTTCTTGGGATTATTGTGAGGATTAAAAGAAATAATGGCTGCCGAGCACTCAGTCACTGCCTAGAGTAAGCGATAGTCAATATGTGCATTTACCATGTGCTCTGCACACTGTTCTAAATGTCTTACAGGAATAAATTTCAACTCTGTGAGGTAGGTACTCTTATGAACCTAATTTTTACAGCAAGGGAAACAGAGGCACAGAGATGCTAGGTAATTTTCCTTAGGTCACACAGCTGGAATGGAGGATATCTATTATAGCTCCAGAGGCCATGCTTTTAACCACATGACAATCCTGTCTCACAAAGGCCTCATGTTCTCCCAGGTCAGCTATCTAGTCTCCCTTAATGAAGGATTGCTACTTGCAATAGTATTCTTTGTTCATCTGTTGTTTTAGTTTTCGTTATCTTTGCTGCATTTATTTTTGGCTGCATTTCTACCTGTTATCATTCGGAGTCTCCTCAACTAAAATGTAAAACCCAAGAAAGCTGGACCACTGCTGTATAACTAGTGCTTGGCACATAATAAAGGCCCAATATGTATCTGTTAACTAAACATGTGTTCTGATTTCTCTTTTAGATCATACATTCATTTAAAATTCAGTCTGACTTCTGTAACTTATGAATACATTTGTAGTACTCTGTAGCTTAAAAAAAAACCAACTTCTTAATTATTATTTTGATATTAATTTTTATTACTCTGTACCTCCAAGTAGAGAGTAGATTTAATTAAGTCTATTTAGGGCCTTTTCTCACAGTCTTTCCTCTAAAAGGAGGCCCAGAGAGTTGAAAGGAGAAATGCTGCATTGTATTTCTTATGGTAGGAGGAATTCTAAGCTGACCTCCAAGATTTTCTCCCTCTGCATAATCTTCAGGACTGTGAATATGATTGATTTCACTCCTGTGATTGACTTAAGTTATATGGCACAGCTAACTGCAAGAAAGATTGTCTTGGGTGAGCCTGACTTAATCAGGTGAGCTTAAAATGGGAATGAACTCTTCCTGAAGCCAATGAATCAAAATGTGAACAGGATTCCATGTGAGGGAGATGCTCTGTTGCTATCTTTAAAAGTAAAAGGGGCCATGTGGCAAGGAGTGTGGGCAGTCTCTTGGAGGTGAGAGTGGCCACTGGCTGACAGCTAGCAAGAGAATCAAGCCTTCAGTACCTATAACAAGCAACTGAATTCTGCCACAACCGCTTGGCAAGAGCTTGGAAGAGGACCTGAACTCCGGATTGGAACATGACACCCTGTGAGACCCTGAGCAGAAACTTCAGTCATGCTGTGCCCGGATCTGGCCAAAAACACTGTGAGCTAATAAATGGGCATTTAAGTTAATACATGGGCACTGTGGGATTCTGTCATGCAGCAATAACTAACTAATACAACTTCTTACCCAGAGTGCACAGCTACTGACCCAGACAAATTATGTGGCAAAAGGTCAATCACTCAATGGGCTGGGTTTACCCTGATTTAGTGTGAAAACCACTTGAAACCAGTTAGACATTAATATATGGCTTTAGACAGGGGTAGGGGATAAGATAGGTATGGCATCCTGAAAAATAAAGACTGAACTAAGGCTTGTATACAAATGTTCATCATCCTAGGTGAGCAACGCAACTGAAAGTGTAATTATTGGTTTTTTTTTTTTTAAGATTTTTATTGGGGAGTTGGGGAAGGGGAACATTGTGTTTTACCAGGACCCATCAGCTCCAAGTCAAGTCAAGTTGTTGTCCTTCAATCTTAGTTGTGGAGGGCACAATCTCAGCTTCAAGTCCAGTCGCTGCTTTCTATCTTAGTTGTGGGTGGGCATAGTCCACCATCCCATGCAGGAGTTGAACCGGTAACCTTTGTTTGCACACTGAGTCATCCAGCCACCTGTAGGAAGCTCAGGGCTGCTCAGCTTAAGGTGCCGTGTTCAATCTTAGTTGTGAGTGGGTGCAGCCCACCATTCCATGCGAGAGTCCAACCAGCAGCCTTGCTGTTAAGAGCATGCTGCTCTCACCATCTCAGCGGCAGCTCAGCTTGGGCGCAGTTCACTGGCCCATGTGGGAATCGAACCGGTGACCCCTGTTGCTCAGAGCTCACGCTCTTAATCAACTGAGCCACTCAGCCTGCCTGAAAGTGTAATTATCTAATATTGGCAAAGTGACTGAAGCCATCTCCACTTTTAACGAACCAAGCATCCCTCTCCCTTTCTTTTTAAAAACAATTCTTTCCCTTAGGACTTGAACAGATGTTTTCATTTTACTTAAACCATAAGACTGTTTTCCTCATCCACCAGGAATATGTACCAGTACAAAGTGTTAACCTCGTTTGGATTTGAACCCCCATCCTCAAGAGCAAAAGAAGGCTGAGGATCGCCAAATGTCAGCTCAGCTGTGAGAAGTGGTTTAAATAATATTTTGACGTATGTTACGCTGTTAACTAGAAAACGAAGTGCAGCACACATGCTTCTAGTAACTCTGGTTTCAAATCATATGATCCCGCCTTTGTCTTGAAGACCTTTTGATGTGCGTTCCCATATTGAGTTTCTCTGCTTTTAATAATCTTATATTCCTTCCTCAATATAAATGTCATGAAAAATACTGAATGCTAACCTTCAAAGATCAAACAGGAAGAAAGAGGTGGGAAGCCTAGTTTAGTGACTTGAATTCCTAAAGTTTCTCATTTAAAAATTTTATTTTCGCTTATAAAAAAGACTAGACTTCAAGAAATGTTTGGTTCCCCTTTGTAAAGTTGAAGTTGTAGATTCCCGCAAATTTCAGAACTGTGTTAGTTACAAAATAATTTGATCTGTCCCTGTACGTCACCTGAGACTCAGGGGCCAGGGGTCACTATTTATATCTATATTTGTGTCTATCTAATAGAGAAGAACTCAGAATCAATACAGGCTGGCTTTTCTTTCACCTTCTTTGCTTTAGCTAGGGTGACCAAGAGTCCAGGTTTGCCTAGAACTTGGGGCTTTCCTGGGACAGAGGACTTTCAGTGCTAAAATTGAGATAGTCGCTGGCAAACTGGCAGAGTTAGTCCCCTAGCTTGGGCATCAAAGACATTTTCAGGGTGAGAATCGTGTAGACAACTTGGTAAAAGCTGTTCATTTGTTTTGGGAGCTTGGTATTTAAAGTTACCCCATTTGTTTTCTATTGTAGGTTGGTGCCCAAACCCCATAATCAAAGTTCTAAAAAGTAATGCTCAGAATTCCTTTAGGAGAGAATTTTAGGGAGGTTCATGATGAAACACTGCAATGCCTGCCTGGGTATTATACACGCACTGAAGTGCTTTTAGGAGAATCAGGTCTTTCATTTCACTCCTCACGTGGGAACACCAATCATGGAAAGATACTGCATTAATAATACCTAAGCACAACTGTGACTGTTAGAGGTGTGAGGGGTGGGGGTGGGGGGAACTGCTTAAAAGATGTAATTATTCTAGGTTTCCTTCATATGGTTTGGTGCGACATAACCTTTTCATCCTCAGTTGCCCTAGGGGTAGTTCCGGAATTCAACATGGGAGAAACGTTAAGGTGGCAGTTGGCTTGGAAGGGCTGTAAGGGCTGACATGGTTTAGGGATGGCTTAGGAGTGTGTCTTGAAGCTATTTTTACTTAGTGTAAGTTTATTAGGGGTGGTTTGAAGGGAGGTGACAGAAATTATTGAGGGGCTAAGCCCGCCCCCATTTTGTTAGCACCAATGCTGAGCATTGGTCTACATTAGGGCATACACATGAGTAATTAGGTAGAATATTTTTTGCTCTAAATATTTTACTACATTAGAAAATAATGTGTCCCTTCATAAAAATTATTTAACACACTGAGTAATAACAATGACACCACTTTTTGAGCACCTACGATGTGCGAGATACTTCTCACATATTTAGGTATGTTATCATTAAAAGCTCATATGAACTCTGAAATACAATTATGTAGAAAAAAATATAAAATTGTACAGACTGTTTTTGAGAACTTTTTGTGTCAGGCCCTCTTCTCGGCAGCGTACATGAATTAGCTCATTTATATTAATCAGCTTCAATTCTAAAGTATGTACTTTTTCAGGTGAAAAAAGAGCAGTTTAGTAACTTGTCTGAATCCATATGGTTACCAAGGGGTGAAGAGAAGATTTAAACCCAGGCAATCTGATATCAGAACCTTTACTCTTAACTTCTATGCTACATTTACACCGTTTTATGGATAAAGAAATAGATTAGACATTGCCTTACTTACGCGTGGCCATCCGGCTCCTGTGCTGGATGGAGAATGCTTGAAAAGTACGTGCTGTAGGCCCCCATTCTCTTGATCCAGGTGCCATGAAGGAGTGTGTGTGTGC